CCGCTCCTGCCGGCGCGCTCCTTGGGGAGAGCGGTGCCCCCGCGTCCTGCTGAGCACAGGAGCGCGCCCTAAAGAGCTCCAGTTGCGCTCTCTTCCCTTCTCCTCTGGATTTTCCCCTCCTTTCCTCTCTTTTGTGAAATGCCGCTGGCACTCGGTTGTGCCTCAGCTGCGCTCAGTCCTGTATTTACCCTGTATTTGTGGTTGTGTTTTTGCTGTCACTCTCAGACTTCTTTTCTATTCTCGTGCCTCTTTAGAGTTTGGTAACTATCGATTTTAAAATGCTCCTTCTCCTTGATTTATTATTAACGTGTTCTGCACAGTGCTTTGTGTAGCCAGAACGTTACGAAACCATGGCTTTGATTTCTGTTCTCTTTAAGTAGCTGGGGGTTTTGTTAACAAGCCTCGTTTAAATATTTTAAGTGTCCTGGCCCTGAAATCTCACTCTTCCTTGTTTTGCTGTTCTCTTGTAAAAAGGGCTAAGAATTGAATTCACTTTGGCAGCAGGTGTGAGCCTCAGTGATGCAAGGTCGGTGGGCAGTAGGCGAGAGCAGGACACTGGGCTGTTTCATCTCTGGGTCCTTGGCAAGTCCAGCTGCGCCCACACCGGGACGGGCCGTTTACAAACAGCTCATAAAGCGAGCGCGCTGACGCTGCCCCTCTTTGCGTGTGTTTTACCTTAAAACTGCTGCTGTGCGGTAGCGATACTCGATTGCCAAAAACCAGAGCCGTGTAGGTATTTCAGAATGAGCAGTGAAAACCCTTTTGTCAGGTGTTGCGAGCAGTGGTTGTGCTTTGAGCTGCTGCCACTCGCTATTCTGGGTGATTTAACTTCTTCCTAAAGTTCAGTCTCTTTATTGGCATTGTGATTTTTACTCCTCTGGAGTTGCTTTACTGATCATAGACCATGTTTTGAAATTAAAAGCACCTTTTCGCACGGGGAATTGTCAGAAGATCGGGTTCTTTGTTCGTGTCGCTGGCGGATCTGGCCAATGTGTTGCAATAGAGACAAATCTAGCTTGCAAAACCCAAGGGCAGGGACAAAATAAAACAACCTGCAGCTAAATCTTAAGAATTTCGAAGCGATAGAGCTCCTTAAGCACCTCTTGAACGCCTGTGAAGTGTTTATTTCTAATTAAACAAGTTGTTCCAGTTCCTTTCACTTGATACATACAACCAGTAAGAATTAATACAGGTGGACTAACTCTGCGTCACCTAAGGTATTTCCCTTAACTTTCTTTTTTCTAAGTGTGCACGGAACAGTGACCTGCTCGCCTTCTCCCTGACCCCAGTTCTCCTGCTGTGCTGCGGGGAGGCTTTGAGATGGGTGAGGTTGTTCATTTGACCTGTGGTGGTAGGAAGTCCTGAAGATAACGCGCAGGATCTCAGGATGGATTGCCGAGCGGATCACGTTGTGAATATGCTGAATGAGTGCATTTAATGTAGCGTCACACAATCCACTTCCTTCTGCTGCCTGAGGATTCCTTTTGAGTTTGAGGGTTTTATTGATAAACATGGAGCGTATTGCTGTGTGTGCTGGTGGGAGGAATGGCCTCTGGTCGGTCCCACCTGCCCCGGGGCTGCTCCGCGTGGAGGCGGTTCGCTCGCAGAATTCTGTGTGCTCAGCTAATGAGGACACAGGCAGCAACAGATGTAGCCTTGCTGCCAAAAATAGTAAAAGAACGTAGTTGCGACGGCAGTGGCAAAACCTGCCTTTTTGCCAGGATGGATTGCTCCGGTTAGGGAACAACTTCAAGCAGCACCACTAAAACATTTCCTGCTATGCTTCCCATGGGCAGATTTCCCTGGAAAACTGCATTTACATGTTGTGTGTGCACATATATATGCATAGAAATTCAGATTTCTCTCAATCCTAGCCCTAAAAATAAGTTATCTCCTGCAGCCGTGGCCTGGGTGGGAAGCTCCTCACGGCCGAGTGCTCCTCGCAGCTCTGTTTTCACCTGGAGCCCGCTCCAGCCTCGGCTCCACGATGTCTCTGCTGGCTGAGCCCATAACCCTGACTTCTGTCTGAGCTGTCCCTGGGGTCCTGTGCCTGGGTGCCCAACCTCTCCCAGATCTCCCAGTTCCCTCTCCAGCCCCTGGTTCCCACCAGCTGCCCCTTTCCAGCCCACCTCCAAGTGCAGCTCGAGGAATTCTTTTTCTCTCAGCCTGAAACCTTCCCTCAAAACCCCGGCTGTCGTGGTGTTTGTCTTTGATGCGGCTCCCACCGAGCGCCGTACTGGTGAGATTCTCACAGCTCGGTTTCTAGGAAATTCCCCCACTGCTTCCTGTGAGATTCCCCTCCTTTTTTAGGAGAAGGTATATATAAAGTATTGGCAAGCCCTTTGAAGTTCAAATAGAGCCTTGTTCTCTCTCTGCCCGGCTTGTGTCTGTTCTGCAGAGGTAAGGGTTTCATTGACAAAACCCCCGAGAACTTTACAGACCTGCCGGCGCCTGGCAGTGGGTTACGAGTGCCCCGGGGTTTGTGACAGGTGGGGAGCTCTGGAGGATGGAGAGCTGTGGGTGACGGCGAGTGAGCAGAGCGCTGCTGCCCAAGCCCAGCCCTTTCTTTCCTTCCTCTGCTTCAACACGCGCTTTTGTAGGACTTCAGCCATTCTCTCAAGTACCAGCACACTGCGCCTGTGTAAACACAGGGCAGGCTTTCACATTTCTTACCAATCCTGAATTGACTTCCTACCAATCCTGCCAATTGTTTTTGGTTTATTGGTTTATTTTCATTTCTTTTTCTTCTTCTGCCAGCCAGTGCAGGAATAGCACATCACAGGCGGGATTTCTGTGCGTTTTGCTTTGGCTTTTTATCACAGCTCAGTTTGAGGACCCTTGGTGCAGCTTGGAGCGTTGCCTACAGCATCGCTTTGTTCTTCTGTCACTGCCCTCAGCTCTCGGCAGCTTGTGACTACACAGCCTGTGAATTTGGTTGTATAATTCGTTTCTCTAAATAAGTCTGTTGGGATCACCTGGTAATGGGAACGAAGAGCTGCCTTTGTGCGCTTCTTGCGGGTCTTCTGTCTCGCCACTACAGGTCTGGGTTTTCTTTCTCCAGGATGAGTGGGCCTGCCTTCCCATCTCCGGCTGCCGAGATGGCGGAAATTAGTCGCCTTCAGTACGAGATGGAGTACACCGAAGGGATCAGTCAGCGCATGAGGGTCCCAGAAAAACTCAAAGTAGCTCCTCAGAACGCCGACCTCGAGAAGGGCGCCCAGGAAGGGTTTCCCAACGCCAGCGTCACTATGCAGGTCCCAGAGCGGATTGTAGTGGCAGGTGGGTCTGCGCCTCGGTGAAAGCACAGCAGGTGAAAATTTACGTTGGATCCCCAGATTTCTAGATGGACAAAATATATATTGGTGTATTTTTAAAAGAAAAGACTGTAAAATGCTTTCTCGTCTTCAAACTGTTCTTGCTCAATTGAGGAAGTTTTTTAAATTCTGGAAACGTTTCACAGATAGTTTTGGTATACCTTGTAATGGAGACAGTTAATGAGAGCACTACGAACAGAAAGTTTAAATGCTGACTTTTCATCTTACTTAAAATTTTCTCATGAAAAAGGTATTCATGTTTATTGATTTACACTTGATTTCTCTTAATTGACTCGAAGCTAAAGTAACTAAAACAAGTTTGAGGGTCATAGTATATATAGCCATGCAAAATGCGTTTGATTGGGATTGGAATGCTAATTATGTGAACCATCTGCCTATTACTGGGGGGCTCTGTCAACACTTCTTTAGTATTTATGGTCACGGGCTTCACCGTGACAGACCTAGAACTGCCAGAGGCCTTACAGCGTACCAACTGTGTGACCTGCTTGTGTTTTGTGCTTTGAAAGAGCGACGTCTTCAGGGCCCCGGTGGCTGGTTTTAAACACACACACCTTCATCGGAGCTGTGTCTTGAGATTAAAAGTGCCCTCACTTGCGGTATCAGTTGGTGTTGCTCAGGATTACTGAGGATTGTTGTTCTTGGAGAAACTGCTCAAATAAGTGCCAATTAATGTAGTTTTTATGAGAGCTTTGGCCGTAATTTTTAACATAGGAGCTGTAATGTACATGTTAAAGAAAGGGATACTTAGTTGTTTGGCATAGTGGGGGACAGTAACAGGTGTGTGATGCCTTTTTGAACTTTAGCGTTAGCTCTCAGGCCGCCCAGCAGCCTGCTTTCTCCTGACAGCTGATGTTCTTGCAGGTAATAGTGAAGACATTCCACTTTCCAGACCACCAGACCTTGACCTTCTTCAGACTACTCCATTCAAACCACTGGCATTGAAAACTCCTCCCCGTGTTATTTCTCTTAGTGACCGACCGCTAGATTTTTTGGACCTAGAAAAACCTCCACAGCAGACACCTCAAAGTGAAGAGGCTAGTACTTTTTTGCTTTTTCCTTAGTTGAGAAGCATTCCGCTAAAAAATGGGTGAGCGAAGTGACCAATGATTTCTCTAGTGTGTTGCAGATCTACACGGTGCCAACGTGATTTGGTAAAATATAAAAATGTTCTTAGTAGTGCTGTAGTAGTTCTAGTTATGGCTTTGAAGTTCCTTATTTATGTGGCCAGTGGCTAGGGGTTACTATGCTCAGGAAGCTTACGCAGTACTCAAAAAAAAATAGTCATAATTAGAACTCAGAATACTTCTAACAAAAAGATCCTTTAAGTTAAAGAAAAAGCGGCAAGATTTTTTTAATTTGCAGGTTATCAGAAACCAAACTAAGATTCTTTTAACATGTATAGTTAACCTTTGGAATTTATGGCCAGATGATACGACACCACATAGAATTAGTGAGTTTTAACAAAACTCTGAAAACCGCCTTGAGAGAGTGGTGTGCCCTTGGTGCCCAGGTACGTGATGGCAACTGACGTGTCAAAAACTGAAAAATCTTTGTGAAGCTGCATAGTCTGTAGAAACGCGTTTATCTCAGGTGGCAGGAAGTAGTATTAAACGTAATACTGCTTTCTTGCCTGTCCCGAGCTCTGTTTGCTCGTACTTTTGGCGCAAGGTCTCACGGACTGACGAGCGCAGGGTTGCAGTGAGTCTGGCCCTTGGTTTCACACATGGCAGCCTCAGCTCCTGCCGTCGATTGTTCCCCACCAACAATGTGCCTCGTAGCCGGGGGCAGATGCGACTTGCAGGTGTCCCCTGCACACGACTGGGTGCCTCCTGGGGTTCCTGCCTTTTATCTCCCTCCTTCTCCCCGTCACGCAGGTCCGCTCGGTGGGGAGGCTGAAGAGAGAGCGCTCCATGAGTGAGAACGCCACGCGGCACAACGGGCAGCTGGCCCGCAACGATTCCATGTGAGTCGAGCAACCGCACGCTCTGTCACCTGTTCCCCCTGTCCCCTGCCTCCTCGCTGGGCACTTTTTCCCACTAATATTTTGTGTGTTGGGGCAAGTACATGATCTTAAATATGACAATGCCTGCGTTTTTCTAGATTTCTATGCTTTTTGCTCAGTGAGGTGCCTCATTTGCAAAGTGTTTTCTTGCAGTGGACGGGTGGGAGTGCCAGATGGTTTCACCAGTTACTGTGAATTGCTACTTGAGGAGATTTTTCCAGCTTCTGAGCTGGAGTAAATTTTTTTCCCCTGAGTTTTCAGGAAATGGAGTTGTTTGTGCATCAAAATGTACCTGTTTCACTGTTGATATTACAATGATTTTCATTCACAGAAGAAGGTATATGTGTCTTGTCTTGTAAATATTAGAATCAGTCATTTTTCTTTGGTGTCAGCATACTTAATGCATTGGAATCTGGAGTACATACCTTAAGTCTTTGGAGACCAAAATGACAAGTAGCATTTGGAATTGGAAACTTTATCTCTTGTTGCCGTCTGAGGTAGCAATTCTTAGGGAGCTTTCTGAACATAACATGGGTCTGTGTATTTCTGTTAGGTGTGGTAGTTTGTGAGTAGTCGTGGTTTATTATGAGTGACAGCATCTTTCCACCTGGCAATAGCTGTTTCTGCAGTGTAACACTTAAGAGTCACATATATAAAAATTGCCTAATGCAGCTACCATAAAGAATACTCTCCCTTGCTGAAAAAAGACCTAAAAGATGGGATTCATCTGTCCCAGTGTAGACCATGTAACACTGTTGCTAAATCACCCTAAACTTAATTTTCAGTAGCTAGAGGGAAATAAGTCCATGACCTACTTAGGGTCTACCTACTTTTAGCCTAAAAATAGATCAAGTGAATTACGTCCTAGAAGTGTCTGTTTTCTTCTCTTTACAGCAGGGCACTAGGAGGTCCTGTACGTGTCTGCCTACCTGTTAGGTCATGTGTCTGAAATGGTGAAATGTGCTCTGATGCATGTTCCAGACATGTTAAGATTCTCCCTCTCTTCCTCCAGATCTTCACGGAAATACTCTTGCTTATCTTCCTCTTCTTCCTTGATCAGACTTCTGTTTCCGACGAGCATGTCTCTGTACTCAAGTCTGCCAAGTCAGATATATTCACCGAGCTGGCGAAACTATGTTCTCCTCCTTCAGCTCCTGGTCAGTTCAGTCTCCAAACGTTCCAGCAAGTGCCCGAGTTCCCTGTAGTGTCGGGCATCCCGTTAGGTCCTCTTGACTCGGCTTCATTTACAAAAGCCAGGAAATTAGGGCACATCTAGGGATCAGTTCTTCTCTCTTGATGCCCACACTAGTGCCTGCATCATGTCAGTCAAATCAAACTTCCCATGCCAAGCAGTTTGCGTTCTGAGAGTCTCGTTGGAAACTGGCCCAACCTTCAGCTTGATCCAGGATCTCTTTTGATGAAAACCAGGAGCTACCTGACACGGAGCCAGCTGCAGCTGCACTCTGCTGCCCACATGGAAGATGCTGTCTCTTAACTGCAACGTCCTGCACTTACTGGCCTGTGGAGAACATGTTTCAGTAAAACTTCATTGTTCCTGTTGCCTCCCAAGTACTTGCTTTCTTGTGACAGAAGCTGTGCAGTGCCTAACGTGTAGGTCAGCCACTTTGAAATCACTGCCGTTCCTAGAAATTGCCGCTGCTTCTGTCATCGTTGCTTCTTCTGACTCTTTGTGAAAGAAGTCTCTTTGAAGGTGCTGTGGCAGTCCCAGGTGTGCTGAGCCTGGTGTCTCTCCCTCATCCCGGTTCTGCCAGCCGTGCCACTGCGCTGGGCTCGCTGGGCAGAGCTCCTGGGCATCCCAGCGGGACAGCCGAGGCTTCTGTGGTTGGTGAAGAAGGTGCCCTGGGCTCTTGCTTCCTCTCAGCTTGGGTGACAGAAGCTGCTTTGTCAAAACTGACTTGACTTTCAAGCTCCTGTCACTTCTAAGTAGGTTACTTCTGCTGTAACAAATATCTGGTGCCCTAACTTGACAAAGATCAGCTCTTTGTTCCTGTGCTCATGTGAGGCTGGTTTAGATCTTCAAAAAGGAAGGAGAGTCCTCATTTCACTTAAAATATTCCTATCCTCCAAAAACTTTTCTCTTTCTCTAAATGCTTGTTTCCTCTTACCTCCCTAACTTGACAAAGAGCTGGCTGGGCTCCTCCTCAGTGTTCTCTGCGTGGCACAGGTAGTTGGTTCTTTCCTGTTGTCTTTCTCTTCCTGGCAGCCAGCTGCATGCAGAGGTCGTTCTCAGAATTTCTCGGGATTTGGGCTTCACTAAAGACAGTAACTTTCAAACACTTTTAAAAAACCTGAGACTAACAAGAAGGCACCTGCTTGTCCAACTGTCTGCACAGCAGTAGTGACAGCTAAGCTGCAATCCCTGTGTTTGTCAGGATGCTTACTTAAGAGGTTGCAATTATTATTCAAGGTGGCCCAGATCAGATACTCTCCCAAGAAATAAAATGCCACGGTTCCAGTCTCCTCTTTCGTCTAAGGACTGCACGTAAGCCTAAATGTTACCTGGTGTATGAGAACCAAGAGTGTTTTTAATTATGTAGCTCTCTGCAATACTAATGTTCTGACTAAGCATCTGTAGTTTCGACTATAAAACTTGAAACAGCCTTTGCTACGCTGAATGTGTGGTTTCTAATGTTGCTTCAGGGTTTCTCAAACATGGCCAGATAGTTTTCCTGTGTGAAGAACATCGGGGAAAATACGAGAGGGAGAGCTTTGACTAAGGAACAATTTGTGAAGCAAAAAAAATCACATTTCTAAGTAGCTTTAGTTCCTTTGATCCTTTGTTCTTTGGCTGATTTTGAGTAGCTGGAGAAACACCTTTTCGTTGGCCGTTGCCAGCTGGTGTTGAACGCAAGGATTCCACTCCTGCGCTGAAGCCAGCAAAGCACCAAGAGCACATGGAAAAGGGGAGAGTGTTTCATTTTTTTCCCGCTCCAGCCTTTCCCTTAGAAAAGCACATCTCTCTAGAGAGCTCTGCTTCGCAGTTTGAGAAATTCTGTTCCTCACGCCGGTCGTGCGGGAAAAGGCGATGGTGTGCACATCTTTAATGAGAATACGGCCTGTCTGTGTGCTTGGGTTTAAAGTAACCACGATCAGTTAAATCTGCTTACCTCTGGTCGGATTCTTCCAGAACTGTAAGTCAGAGAAATGCCTGAAGTGAACCTCGTGTGCACCACAGGTGCTTTGAGAAGGTTTAGGGGAGACTGCTGCTAAGCCGGAAACTCTGCGTATGGTAGAAGGTTGCTGTGCTCTTCCACAGTCGTTTCTGTGATTCCGTGTTGGCTGTTTGAAGGAAAATGCGGATAAATTCAGGTTGAATGTAAAGTAACACAGACGAATCAAAGGCAGTTTATCAAAACCAGTTTCTGTCCCATAGCAAAGAGGTTTGTATAATGCAAATGGTCATGTTTGAATTTCACTCCTATCTGTTTTAACTATTATTTCTGCATCACAGCCAAAAAGTCAGACTGTAATTTGTAGTCACGGGGATATGAATTCTGTGCCTTTTTTGGAATCTCTTGTAGTTGCCTTTAAACTTCATGCATGTACAAATCAAAATTCTGCCTTGATCTTTAGTCACAGCTCGAAGAAAAATTTGTGTTGAAGAGGCTCTGTGTGAGGTACCCCTTATGGAAAAGGCTTGAGTTTTGAAAAGAGACTGTGTGTAGGATTTTTATTTTTTTTTAACGCCAATGCTTGTAAAAACGCTTTTCTCATTGATGTCAGTGAGGACTGGAATACTGGCTTCAACAGGTATGGATTTAGCTGGACGAGGACTTTCTAAAACTAACTTGCGTAACAGAACTAAACCACGTCCTTGGATTATTACTCTTGTGTGTTTGTGAAGAACGTGTTTAAATGTAGCTCCTGATCTCTGCCCAGGTGGAGCTCGGAGGTGTTACCTTACAGTGGTGGGAGAAGGGTGAACCAAAAGCAAGCGATAAGCGTTTTGGAATGGGATCTGTCTGAAACTTTTTTTTTTTTTTGCCATTTAAAATCTGACTGTAGTATTTCTCTCTTCATTTACTGTGCTTGTACGAACAGTGTGACACCATCACTGCAACAGGCTCGTGTCTGTCCTCCCAATATGTTACCCGAAGATGGAACTAATCTTTACTCTGCTCGTGGCATTTTGTCGTTTATCCAGTCTTCCACTCGTAGGGCTTACCAGCAGGTCTTGGATGTGCTGGATGAAAACCGCAGGTGATTGGCTGTCACTGATTCTGCCAGCTTTTGCTGCTTTTTCTTTTTCTTTTTCTGTTCTCCTGTTTAGTGGAGTTTGGTTTCTGTTTACAAAATAACGAGGTGAAATTATTTGCTTTTGCTTTCCTCTGCTTTCACTATACTCATAAGCAATTTAATTGTCCAAAATTCACATTTCGGAATGCTTCTGTTTTGGTCAAATATGGCATTGTTTGGTTTCCTCCCAAATAAAAATCAAAATAGGAAGCGTTAGTCTGTGGCTGCAGGGGCTCTTGCTGTTCCCCATGTTTTCTGCAATTAATACTTGACCCTGAGCCTGCAAATTTATTTGCCGTGTCTTCTGCTTTCCTGCCGGCGAGGAGTGATGTGACCCAGCGAGATGGGGTTGAAGCAGTCGCAGAGCAATCGCGCACCGTGCCGCGGCAGGGCTGTCGCGCCGTGGGCACCGCTCTCGGCAGCCCTTCCAGTTTATACTGGGAAAAGCTGTCGCTGGTTGATCCGCCAGCGAGTGCGACCGCTGGTGCTGGGAGCGGGAAAGGCGACACAGGGGAGAGCCGGTCGCTCCTGGGGTTGGTGCTGTTGGACCCAAGGGGCCGCTGGGAGGGCCTGCCAGAGGAGACAACTGTGAGAACAGGGAGGAGCTGCTCCTTCTGTTCCTCCTGCAGCGCGGCCGCTGCTGGGAGCCCTGCTGGGCAGCGCTCCTGCCATGGGCAGCGTGCTGCAGGGATCTGCTTTCCAGCTGTTTGGGTGGTAAAGCATGGGTGTCAAGCCAGCCGTACTGTGAACAGCTTCCCAAACCAGCACCGCCTGTAGCTCACCGTGTGTGCTGACCTGGCCCTATCAGTGCCCATATTAACATTCCTGAATGTTAATAAAGAACTCCAGTCTTGCTGGCCTTTGTGTTCTTAAACTGGGACTTAAAACAAAAATAAAACAAAATAAATTATTCGTGTAGTTCCCTGTGAAATTCTGTGAGTGGGATGCTTGCTCTGACTCAATCCTATGAAGTTTCAGGCTGTAGCTGCTAAAATTTTGGTGCCTGTCAGTGGTTGGACAGCAATACATTTTTTTCTTTGGAATTACAAGGGAGGTTGAGGTTTATTTTTTTTTTTGTTTGGATTTATTTTTCCCAAAGTGAAAGCTCCCAGATCAGGAAGACTTCTGCTGTCCGTGAATAATAGCACGTACAGATACTGTGCCAAGAGTCCCTGTTAACACAGAGACTGAAATTCTGGCCCGTTCCCTAGTGCACACTGAAGCTAACAGGTTTTATTCCTGGCTTGCGTTCAGCATGTTCTGGCCCATGTTTTCTTGGGTTCTGGAGCATACGTGCCCGCATACACACACCTTACTTGGGTTCTCAGGAAAACTCTCAGGCTCTGGATCCGTCAGAAGCTGCATCACTCTTCTCGGGGTGGGTTAGATCTCTGGCTGTTCTTACTAACCTTCCTAGAAGGAATGGGAAACCTGTTTCTAGTCATCTCTGAACAAAGAGGTGCCGAAATAACAAACCCTGCTCTAAGGTGCATTCCTTGTGGTGGGGTATTTAGGTACCCACCGTTACTCCACAGCTGGCGTAGGAATGTGAAATTTGGATGATCCACTTGCATGGTTGCAAAAATACTGTTCACTTTAAATTGCTCCAAACCTGCACTGTCTTCTTTTGCTCTGTGTAATGTGCTTTCTATCTTAAAACCTTACCTCTTGTAACATTTTATGCTTGATACTAGAAGAGATCTGTTAAAATGAACAAGTTCTGACAATGTGTTACTCACTGGAAATATTTCTAATTTGTTTCATGGCTTGCTTTTTTTTCTTTTTTTTTTTTTTTTCCTTTCCCCCTCCCCTCCTAAATATTTTCCAACCTACTAAAAGTGCTAAGGGCAGGTGCTGCAGGTGCTGAGTCATGCCTGGCTTTGCTGGCGCTGCTCGCATAATAGGCCGTTGAAAAGGGGAATAATTTAATGATCACTGTTTACACTGTCTACTCCTGCATTTCCTTCAGCTTGGACAAGGACAGTAGGTCAGTTTAGTTTCTCAGTTCTAACCATTTTCTGTTCCAGTTTGTGTCGAATGGCCGATCCCTCGTGTCTTTGACAGACTGTTCCAGGCTGTGTGTGCAGTGAAACAGTTTGGTGCTGAGCATGCCTGGCCTCGGAGCTGGGGCTGCTGCTGATCCCACGTTAATGTTTAGGATGGAGTTGACAGCAGTAGCCAGAAAATTCCGAGTTTTAATGTACTCTTACTCGGTTTTTTTAAAGATGGCCGTGCATTTCATAGCTTGACTGGATTCTGTATTTACTAGAAAACTTGATGCTGACTTTGGGGTAAGGAGACCTGAGTGATGAGGCCACAGTGATGGATATAACAGTTTTTTAGTTGTATATATAACACCAAACAAGGGAAGACTGTGGGAGAGGCTGGGGATTGCTATGGTGCTCCCTCTGGGCTGGCGGCTTCCCTTGGGAAGGGTCGAGTGAGTTAGTTGGTGTTGAGTAGTTCTACAACAGGTGTTATTTAATTACCTGTTAATTGCAGGTGGCCGGCCTTGGCAGAGATGCTCTGTGGCCTTTGCCACAGCTGCCGTGCGCTGAATTTCTGATGCTTCCTCCAAGCATTCAGTCCTAGCATCTCACAGACGGGGCTTTAGCTGGATTATCTCCCTGACTGAACGACAGGGGTACCTGTTTTGCTAACTTTCTGCAGGACCTCACACGTTTAGGCAAGAATATTCTTCCACAGCACGTACTGGGAGGGGAGTTTCTGTCTGGTAGGGCACATCGTGCTGGCTTATCCCGAGGGCTGGAGGGACGGCCGTGGTGTGTGCGCTTCGGCTGCTTGCGCTGGGACCCGGTCCCAGGAAGGGTTGTCAGGTACCAGCTAGGGCTCCTAGGTCCTGATCCTTTTAAATGAAACCAGTGGTTGTGATGTTGTTGTGTGGTTCCTGCTGGTTTTGAGGCCAGGCCACAGTGTCCTCTGGCCCCCGCAGCCCCGAGCAGAGCTTCATGCACATCCCTGCCATAAAGATCTCCCTGGCGAGATTCTCTTTGTCTTTATTTAATAGCCCGCAATTACCAAATCATGGTACGAGCACCTCCCATTGGCATGGGGAAGGCGGAAGGAAATGGAAAAAGCGTTCAGGCTCTCGAGCAGTTTGTCCCACATCGTAGTCGTGGCACGTGGACGCCCGGTACCAGAGGCGCTGGAAGCCCCGAGGAGCTGTTGTGCCGGAGAGCGCCGCTGGCGTTGCTGAGGCAGGCAGCTCTGTACTGCACACTGAACGGATGCTGAGAGGGGCAGTGACTTAAAAAGCTCCACCTGTTCTTCCTCTCTGCCTAGAAAAAAAAGGAGGAGACGTTGAAAGCTGTTCAGTTGAGAGCGCACTTGCAAGGGTGCGCGTCCCACCTCACTGGAGCGTTGGTCTCTCCTGCCCGGAGAGATGTGCCTCTCCCTGCACTGGAGGTGGCCCTCCGGCTGCTCGCCCAGGGGTTCTCAGTTACATCTAGCGTAGATGAACAAAGACAAGACAAATCTCCCCTTTCCCTAGAGGGAGGAGAGGGTGATTAAAAAGCCTTTATAAGTATGCGTAGATACATTTTTTTGGTTTTTTTTCCTCACTGTTGCTGGATGGGGCTTTGGGTGGAACTTCTTTTTTAAACCTGAAGTTTCCGTGGTTATTTTGTAAGGCTGATAACCTCCTCCCAAATCTCTGTTCCAACAGTTTGTCTTCCCTAGATGAAGCTGTATCATCAAAAACTTGCCTACATGCCTTAGCTGCATTAACATTCAGTGTTGGTTAAATTTGAATAAGAGAAATACGAAGGCACAGTTTACAGCAGAATAAACAGATACTGCATTGAAACTCTGTGCAGTGTAAGTGGAACTGTTTTCATGCTCCTTGGTTCTGTGTTTTACCTTTTCTCTCTGTTTGTCGTTTCCTTTTCTGTCCCATGCTTTCTGTGCGCACAACCCTGCCGCAGGCCGGTGCTACGTGGTGGGTCCGCGGCAACCTCCACCTCTAACCCTCATCATGACAGCACCAGGTAACGAGAACTTTTTTGTTAGTCATGATCCGCTAAAGTAGATCCTAAAATCCAGACTTCTGCCCCCGTTTCCAGTGTCCTTCCTTTAACACGCAGGGCTCGTTTCTGTCCTCCTCTCAGCTCTTGAGCTAGCTCAGGCCTTCGCTCCTCGCCCGTCTGAGTCACGGGCAGAGCCCCTGCGGGTCCGATCGCTGCAGCGTGCTGCGGGGCGCTGGCTGCAAAATGTGTGAGGGCAGGCTCCTCGATCACGCCAGCAGTACACTCGGGGTATTTTCTGCTCAGCAGGGAGTTTCACAGTGTTACTGCTAGAAAACCTGGCCTCGCAGCTCCTCGTTTTTCCCGGTGTCCTCAGTAACACGCTGTGGCGGCTGGATGCCACCTCGGCAGTGACGGCATTCCAGTGGAGCTGGATGCACAGTTGATGTGAAATCTCATAATCAGGATGCAGGTAGAAAAGAAATTAAAAAAAAATAATCCCTTCTTCCCATTTGCCACTACACTTGTGTGTTTTCATCGAGATGGAGATTACAGTTGTGCTTAAGCAGACGCCGGATTCAAGCAGGTGATTCTTCTCTAACTCAGGAGTTCAGTTTTTGTAGGGGTCCAGGAGACGACCTCAAGGGGTTTCTGGTAACCCTCTGGATCTAATAGCTGGAAGGCGTGGCCGTTGGGAGAGCAGCAGTGATATGCTGTGACTTTGTATTACATGGAGGTGTCTGGGAGGGAGGTGTGCCACCCCCACTGATGCGAGGAGCCTGCCTGCTTTTCCCAGGAGATGGTGAGGGAGAACCATGCTGTGCATCTGGTGGAAATTTCTAAATTTTTTATCGTCTACTACAAGTTCAAAAAAATGGCTACAAAAAGACCCTCCTCAGAAATCTCTTTGGCATTCAGAGGACCTGCAGTAGTAAAGAAAACTTGAGTTATTTTTTTGTGTGTGCACAAAGCGTCAGACTGGGTTTTTTTAACCATAGAAAAGTTCCAGTTGCTTCATAATTCACTGAGATTTATTTTAAAATAACTTTGTTGAGTGCTGTGAGCTTCACAGCACCAAGAAAATGAAAAAACCCGTGTGTGTTGGTGCTTTATTCAGTTAGGATCCTATTGAAAGAGACTGCTGTAGAAGCTGAAAAAAAATTAAAATTCTTCTCTTTCTCACCACTACAAAATACACATATTAGAATGTTGATCAGCTACGGTACTTGCTAATCTTGGCGCAGATGAGACAGCTGAGCTCTCCTTTCTCTGACAGATACGGCCTGTCCAACCTGGATACAGCGCTCGAGGGGACGCCGGATGACATGACGGTGGTGGATGCCGCTTCCTTACGGAGACAGGTCTGTGCAGCGCGGGAGGTGGGGACGGGAGGGACAAGCCGTGGTGGCGAAGCGGGGAGAGGTTTTCTGTGGGGCTGCAAATGTTCCCGTAATAGATCCTGTGAGGAGGAATCCCCTCTGCACCCTGTGGGACCGGCCTCACAGATCCCGCCTCGCTCTGGGGATCCGCAGAGTCCCGCTCCCTTTCAGCGACAGCAAGATGCGATCGCTCCTGATCGAGGGTAGAAAACCAAATTACCCGTGTTTAAAGTCCACCTGTCCGAGCTACTAATTTTGGATGGCTATTCAGAAGCTTCTAGGCCAGGCAATTTGTGACAAAGTATTAAAAGCCTTTCTTTATTTTCAGATAATCAAGCTTAACCGCCGCCTACAACTTCTAGAAGAAGAAAACAAAGAGCGTGCTAAAAGGGAAATGATCATATATTCAATTACTGTAGCGTTCTGGCTACTCAATAGCTGGCTTTGGTTTCGGCGCTAGACACAGCTCTCGCAAAGATTTAGCAGTTGAAAACACAAGTAATTTGCAAAACCCTTTTGTTTCTGTTTCTGAATTGTATGCTGTTTTATAATTCATACACTGGAAACTCCCGCCACAGACAAAGGCTATAGAATTGCAGTGTCAAAGGGACACTCTGTTGTTTCGTTTTAACGTATTTAATAGATTTGCATTGCAAATACCTGCCGTGTCCTCCTTTGCATGCATCAGTGTCAATACGGGTCAGGGATCTGCAGGGGCAACCGCTGCATGTTCTCCTGTGGTGGGAAGAGAACAAGTGGAACGGGATGGGGAAAAAATGTAAAAACAAAGGAATAAAAGGTAGTTTTTACTGTTCTGTTGTTAGATGCATTAAGCGTGATTGCACTCGTTTTCCTTTAGTCTGAGTAGTTTCAAGGAGTGCATCCTGTTTCATGGTTATGTTCCTTCTTTAAGCACGTGTCCAGGTCAAATAATAAAAGGAATTCTTTGCTAACATGCAGGTTGTCCAGAGGTGTGTAATATGTATTTTTTTTAGCTTTAATTTTGCAGATGTTTTTGTATAAAATACATTTTTAAGCAAGTAAGTCTGTGAGTGATCAGAAGATTATGGAGTACAACATACTGATGTAGTATATTTAATAAAACTGTCTCTCGAAAAAACCCACACCCCAACCATTGTTTAACATTATTTTAAGAAGATTTATTTGAGGGTTCATCTACACTATCAGTGTTGGAAGTAAGTTGCCGTGATAGCCTGAACAGCCCCAAAGCAGCGGGTGGGCACCCCAGGGCCTTGCTTGGGGCACCGGTCTGGGGGCGTGCGGGGAGCGCGCAGGCACGGGAACCGGGGAACCTGGCCGGCCTCG